AGGTCAAGGCCAATAGCCTACATAGCAAGTTCAATGACAGCCTGGGCTACATAAACTCCATCTCAAAAATAAATAAATAAACAAACCTGAATGACCACATGAAAGTAAGCAATACATAAGCTCAAATATATAGGCTTTCAGCAGTCTGATGAACACAAACAAAACATGCCACCCACCAGGTTGAGGTGGTGAAATAAGACAGAAGTGCCTATGGGAGAGGAACTGTCTCCCCGACTGGACAGAACAGGCTTTAAAGAGTTTCCCAGCAAGGACTATACTCAATCCCAGCAAGGCTCTCCACCCTCTCCCACAACCATGCCCTAGAGGACAGATAGAAAGCACTGCTTAACGGCACTCAAGATAGCCTAGAGTGGAAGATAAGAGATCCCAAGCAGGAAGGTTGGCAAGAAGATGTACCTAGCCTAAATGATGCCAGAGCAAATATGAAGTCTGGACAGAACTGTCCACATCAAGCATGAACAAGATAAAACGAAATTTCACAGCAACAATGCAACACACAACAATAAATAAAAATGAAAAAAAAAACAAGGTCGGCAGAAAGACAAAAGAGACCAGTCTAGAAGAAAGCATATGCCAACAAAGGGAGTGATACTTGCCCAAGTGATTCACAAAAGAATGCTATGAATTCAATACAGTAAGAACCAAAGATGAGGTAAAACCCAAGATCGAAGAACAGAGAATGTGAAAGTTAAGGAAAAACAGAATGCATCCAATAAAAAAATATAAACATCAAGAAACAGAACAGAGAGCTAAAAACTCAACTACTAACCTATTGGAAAACAGGATTGTAAGCCAATGTATGTATTAGACAAATGACTGAAGCAATTAAAGATGTACATGGAGGGCAAAGTTACCCAGGATCTCAATACATGAACTAGAAAAAGCATAAAGGAATAACACACAGAAAAACTCCTTCAACAGGAAAGAACTGAATCTCCAAACTGAAAAGTCATACCATATGCCAGGAAAAAAAATTTGGTAAGAACAACTAACATTAAACAAGTCACTGAACCTGAAAGCATGAAGAAAGAATTCTAGGCCAGACGTAGCACACACCTAAAATCCCAACAGTTGGCAAGAGGAGCTCGAGTTCCAGCCCAGTTTAGGCTACACTGTGAGAAACTATCTCCAAAAAAAGAAAATTCTTGAGGAATACAAATAGAAAAAGCAAAGCTTCTTGTGTATGAAGAAATCAAATCAGGCTGGCCTTAAGCCTTCTATAGATTAACATGATACAATGCCAGAAAACAAGATTCAGAGGGTAAAATCATAGAACCCAAACAACAGACATAGAGCCAAGCTGTCATTCTAGAATACAGAACAATGGTCTGTTATTGGGGAGTATGGCACTAGGAGCCATTCGAAAGTTGTTTCTGAATGAAATCCAAATAACCAAGAGAATCAAAATTAGGGAGGTAAAAAGAAGGGATGCTGGAAAAAAAATGTAAGAGTCCTTAAATCAACATAACACAGAATTTTAAAAACTATTTTAACCCCTAAATACACTGTACAGTTTTGCCTTATTTTAATCTTCGTAGAAACTTACAGAAACTGCTCTGATGTAGAAGAAAATTTGTCTGACTAAATTCAGTTATTTCTTAAAATTCTTAACACGGTATGAAAATCAAGATAATTTTTCCTCAATTTCCTACCTAGTCACAAAGCAATCATCCAAAGTAAAAAATTAATATTCATACAATACTTTCATCTAACCCACAGAACCCACTCAAGTTTCATCATTTATTTCAATGATGACCTTCAAACAAAAATGATCCTGTCCAAAGCCAGGCACCAGGAACTTACAAAGAAATCAGGAGTTCACAAGACCCTATCTCAAAAAACTCATTACAAAAATAGGGCTTGTGGAGTGGCTCAAAATGAAGGTCCCTTGTTCAAACCCCAGTACCGGAAAAAAAAAAAAAAAAAATCCAATCCATTACAGAAGGACCATCCCTTTAGACTCCTTCAATCTGAAAGTTTCTCAGTTTTTCTTTCACTTTCACACTTAAGATTTTCAAAATCAGAAGCCAAGTATTCTGTAGAACATCCCTCAGGTTACCTGTGTTTCCTCATGATTGTACACAGATTCTACCTCCTTGGCAAGAACATAACAGAAGTGATACTGTTCTGACTGCATCCCATCAAGTGATGAGTTCCACTTGTCCCAGTGATTACCACTGACCATTAGAATTTGGCAGGTTTCTCCCACGTAAAATCACCTTTCTCCTTTTACAATTAACAATTACACTTCTGGGAATATATTTTAAACCTACAAATACCTTATTTCTCACCAACTTATTTTTAGTGTTTGCTGTAGGTTAAATAATATCCCACAAGCCCAGGGTGATGCATGCCTATACAATCCCAGCGCTTGGCAGGTGGAGGCAGGAGGATTATGAGTTCAAAGCCAACTTGAACCCTATCTTCAAAACAAAACAAAACCTTAGAACATCCACATCCTAATTCCTGGAAACCGTGAATATTACCTTATATGGCAAAAGTGAACTCTGCAGATGTGACTAACTTAAGGCCTAAAATGGGGAGGCCCAAGGGGCCATAAATGCAATCACCTATATCCTTAGAAGAAGGGAGTTGAGGGGAATTTGACCTAAGGGGAAGGCAGTCTGACTATGGAGGCATAGAGTGGAATGATGCAGCCACAAGCCAAGGAATGCCAGGTGCCACTAGGAGAGGAGGCAAGGAACACATTGTTCCAGATGGAGCACAGTCCTGCTGATGCCATGATTTCAGCCCAGTGAGAGATTTCAACTTCTGGCCCCCCAAAAAATAAATTTGGTTTTTGTTTTGTTTTGTTTTTCTAGTAATTTCCTATTGTTTTAAACCACCAAGTCTGTGGTAGCTCCAGCAGCCTCAGGAAACTTTCATAACATATATTATTGTTTCCTGCCTCCGTCAATCATATCAATCATTACCATGGCAGTTGTCTAATACTGAATTTTCCAATGACATAATTCCTTCTATATTTCCCCATATATTCATTTATTGTGAATTCCTATTTGACCCAATAGTTTAAATATGTTACTATATTTTTTATTTTTTAAGTTGCACTAAATCAGCAATTTAAGACCCTAAACACCAGTTTCTCTGTCCTTTTGACATAACCCTCCATCACTCCTCTAGCATAACAAGGTAGTCTAGCTCATTGTGAAATTTCCAAGCCTGTAGTAAGTCATCTCCCAGGAACCATGGTTCTGTAGTGTAACATAGCTCTCAGAAACCAACATATGGGTGCTAAGTGGAGTCATGGCCAATAGGGTGCTGCTGCTCCAAAGCCCTCTCAGTAGACAGGTTTAGGGAACATTACTGTACATGCATGTATGTGTATACACATTCATACACTCAACATTTGTATCTACATTTATTTGTGTATCTATCTTTATATATTGAAAACTAACCCAGACGCCAGTGGCTTGCGCCTGTAATACTAGCTACTAAGGAGGCAGAGATCAGAAGGATCACTGTTCAAAGCCAGCCCAGGTAAATAGTTCGTGAAACCCTATCTCAACAAAACCCTTCACAAAAAAAGGGTTGGTGAAGTGGCTCAAGATATAGTCCCTGAGTTCAAACCCCAGTCCCACCAAAAAAAAAAAAAAAAAAAAAAAAAAACTACAGGGAAAATTTGATCAAAGTACATTATATCCATGTATATAAATAACATAAATTACCCCTACAATTAACTTATGTTAATAAATTTTTCAAAAGAAAAAAGAACCCATAATAAATCAAATAGAATAGTGTTATCAATGAAATCTTAAATTGAATTTTTTAAACTATATTATTTATAAGACATCCAGCCGTTTCACTGTACAGTAGACACTGTGAGTAAAGCATACCCTCCCGAACTAAAAAAATTTGTGGACAAGAAGTTGTCATTGAAATGAAATGATGGCAGACATGTCCAAGGAATACTGCAGGTATTTGATCCCTTTACGAATGTTGTGATAGATGAATGCGCAGAGATGGCAACTAGTGGGCAAAAGAACAAAACTGGAATAGTGGGAATACGAGGAAAGAGCATCATGTTAGAAGCCTTGGAGTGAGTTTAAATAATGACTGCTCAGCAGAGAAGTCCACATCCCCTCTTCAAAGGGCTTGTTTTACTTAAAAATCAGGTCATGTACACTTTCATATTAACCTTTTTGTAAAATAAAACTTTTATAATAGTCAAAAATGTTTTCTCTCTTGGACATTTTGAATTTAAAACTAAAATGTTAGCTCATTTTCTTCTAACATGAAAAAAATAATGAAATAAAATAAAAGACATCCAAAATTAATAACAGAAAAGCTAAAAATTAAAAGCAGGAGAAAGATATACCCAATAACTATAAATTGAAAAAGTTGTTTGGGAATAAACAGATAATATAACATATGTTGACACACATTTAGGAACATGGGAATGTGTCTCATATATGCTCATTTGTTTTGGTTGCAGTTTGTAATTCAAAATAAAAAACTTGAGAAAAAAAAAGCTCCCCCCTTAAAAAGTTACTTTTTAGCAATAGGAGTAACAGTTCTGTTCACTGCTATATTTCCAGCACATAACATCTTGCAAGTACTTAATATAGTCTACACTGGCCGAACACTGCATTTACTCTAAACATTCAAGATTGCAAAAATAAGTAAATAAAAGAGCATTACATAATTAAATGTATCTTTATGCTATAGCAAGTGACCACTTCATTTAAAAGACAATAAAATTTGAAAAAATAACAAATAAGTATAGCTCTACATTTTGCTTTAATCTGCTCTGGTATTTCCTTTTTTTTTTTTTTCTTCATATTTCTGTCCCTTTGTTGCCATGTTTTAGCCATCTGAGTTCAGAAGTGAATAGCTGAATAACTAAAACTCATTGTTGCCTTTATTAAATTCTTAATTGAATTTTGGCATCCAACGTATTTCTCTGTTCAAAAATTAACTCCCTTTGTACAATACAAATAAACAGAAAGCAAAACACATACCGTCCATCTTTCAGAGTGTTAACAATAAATCGGTTAATCTGGCAAATACAGTTGCTGGACAATCGTTGTTCCTCAACAAGAGGGTTCAACTGGGTTGCCAACATGAAAGCTGAAAGGCACAGAGATTACATTAGCCTTCAAAACAGTTCAAGTTTAGGAATCTGAAAGTCGATCACGAAGAAAAATGATTGCTTAAATATATTCCTATCCAAGTGAAAACTAATCAGACTTTGCATAATAGAAAACAGTGTAAGTCAGCTGTATTAAACATCTGCTGCTACTCTTAAATGCATACGTATCTCAAAGGGCCCTAAATAATTTTTTTGTCATTCAGGTTTCATGAAAGACTAAAAAGTCTTTTCTAAGTCTCTTAACATTAAGACTAGCGATAGTAAGCAAATACTCTAATTTTTCTCATCTTCCTTTCAAACCTTCCAACACAGAAATAAAACCCCCAAGAAGGTGAGTATAAGACAGCTAACCCATCACATTCACTAAATGCCAATACCATCCTTAGGGAAATTAATCAAAGGAAACAGAGCACCAGTTAGAAAAAATTAATTAAGCTGAGTGGCAGCTTTCCACTACGTCCAGTCTATTGTTAGAGTGCCCCTGCCAGCTGCAACTCTGTCTGAAATAAGTGCACAGTCAAGTAAATGTGGACCTTAAGATTGCCCCATGTACTGCAATCAAAGTGCTGAGTATGCTTTTATCATTTAAATACAAGTTTTTAGATTTACACATCATACTCACAGGATAGAGTGTTCAATCCATCACTCATAAGCAGTCGATAACGGGGTGGACTATTCCCTGTAGTAATAGGACGGATATTCTAGAATAGAAATTTGATTCATTAACCATGTTTTCTGCCTATTCCCTAAGGATAAGTGAACCTAAGTGGCAGGAGAGTGGGTTTGCCATTTGTTCAAGACAAAATGAACTGCTTGCCCATTCTCTTGATACCTAAATACAAATGAAAGAAAATTGACTTGACAATTTTCTCAACAGTCTCTCTCCACTAACATTATTAAAATATAGAACAGAGTAAGATGAACTGTCCATACTTTTGTGTTCTCTCTCCATTATCTCAAAATTGGCTGGAAATCATTACCCTCTCAAATTTATATTCACAAGGTACTATTTAAGACACATGCTAAAAATACGAAATAAAAAAATTCCTTGCCCTGAAGGGTTTATAGCTGAGGTACAGATGGAAGTAGAGAGAAGCAATGTGTAAATACAATGATATGGGAATACAGCCCAGACCTTTATCTCAGCTTGAAGGATATCAGAGGCAGCTTTCTGAAAGAGTTAAGTATGTAAACATTTTTAACATATGTAAACACCAGCCTTCTGATTACTGGTAGTCTGGGAGTAGGGGAGATTATTACCTACTTTGTCAAAATCTGGCTGGGAGGGTGGTTCAAGGGGTAGAGTACCTGAGTAGCAAGAGTGAGGCCTGAGTTCAAACCCCAGTACCACTTAAAAAAAGAAAAAGACAGCCAGGTGCTGATGGCTCACACCTGTAATCCTAGCTACTTAGGAAGCTAACATCAGGAGGACTGTGGTTTGAGGCCAGACCAGGCAAACTTCATCTCCAAAATAAGCGCAACAAAATGGACTGGAGATGTGGATCAAGCAATAGTGTGCCAGCTTTGCAAGCATGAAGCCCTGAGTTCAAACCCCAGTCCACCAAAAACAAAACCAAACAAACAAAAAAATCACAATGGGCTGGCAGAGCTGCTCAAGTGGTAGAGCACCTGCCTAGCAAGTTCCAGGAGGCCAAGTCCAAAGCCCCCTCCCCAGTTTGGCAAAAACAAAACAAAACAAAAAAACCCACAACAACAAATCAAATAAAAATCTGTAGGCATGATCCTGGATTCTGTTTCTATTGTCTAAAATTCCCAATAAATTTGGAAACTCCCTAAACAGACAGATGGGTTAATTGAAGGATTTTAAGTAAATAAGCTCACTGTAGCTTTCTCTCCCTGGAGGTAATACAGAAGGTAGATTCGTACAAGACAACCTAAGGGCAGACAGTCAAGTAACAAGACAGATGTAATGATGTGCAGCATCACAGTCACCTACCAAGCATGCGTGGAAAAGAACAGAGGCAAAGGTTTAAATCAGAACCTCCAAAAGTTTAATGTTAGCTAACATAATTAAAAAAAAAAAAAGAAAAAATTTAAAAAGTCCAGTTCCTCTCTCAGGGTTACAATGTGGACCAGCCTGTTTTTTTTAATAATGATGAAGAGAATTTACTGAACTGGACAGAACTGTATGTTTTTCATCACATAACTTATAATTATGTATGATTCTAAAAAATGGCCAATACAAGTAAGGTACTTACAATGACTTGGAGGATGGGTTTTATGGATGTATCTCCCTGTTGCATTATGGCCTGAAAGAGTAAAAACAGATTCTTATAAGCTATGCATTCAAATCGCAATAAAAAATTGATAGTTTTACAGTTTTTTATCTGGAATAAACCACAGACAATATTGTTATAAGAACCTATTCAGAGGCAGTCACTTGAAAAGTCTAATTTTCACCGGACAAATCATAAAAGTGCCTGTTTTCAAAGAAAACAAATGGCATTTGTTGTCAAAAACAAAAAGTTGTTTTCTTGTGAAAATCAGGATTTCTGAACACTTATATTCACTACCAAGAATGCTAAAGCTTTTCAAGACTTATAGGCTTTTGTCATGAAGTTGGTGGTGTTAATGAATGTGAACTTTTCTGTTTTGTTTTTGGTTTTTTTTTTTTTTTTGAGAGATGGTGTTGCTATGTAGCCCAGGATCATACTCAGCCTCCCAAGTGCTAGGACTACAGGAATGAGCCACCACACCTAGCATGAATGTGACTGATTTAAGGAAATGCATCAAACATCTGGAAGATACTCAAAATGCAATGAGCCAATATTTTCCAAATGACTAATGCTTGTTAAAAAGTAACACACACCATCAGGTGTGGCAGAACATACATGTAATCCCAGCTACTTGGGAGATGGAAGTAGAAGGACTGGGGATTCAGGCCAGTCTGGGCAAAAGTTAAGACTCCATCTCAAAAACAAACTGGGCATGGTGGTGCTCATGTGTAGCTCCAGTTACTATGGAGGTGGAGGTCAGAGGACTGAGGTCTGAGGCTAGCCCAGGCAAAAGCATGAGACTCCATCTGAAAAACAAACTAAAAAAGCTGAAAGGACTGGGGCATGGCTCAAGGAGTACAGCACTTGTCTAGCAAGCACAAGGTCCTCAGTGCAATCCCCTGTACTGACAGAAAAAAACAAACAAACCCACAGAGTCATGCATACCAGCACATGCCTGAAATCCCAGTACACAGAAGGCTAAGAAAGGAGGATTCTGAGTTTGAGACCAGGTTGGGCTACACAGCAAGACCCTGTCACAAAAATGTAAGGAAAAAAAAAAAAGAACCCACACATGTAAAAGACTCATTCAAAATGTAATACAAACCAATCTAAATTTCAAATAATCTTTAAGAAAGTACCATTTGATAAACTTTGATACAGTATCAAAAAAGAGGCCTGGGATAGGAGTGATAGTAGAGTACTTCCATAGCATGTGTGAGTCTCGGGGTTCAATCCCCAGCATTGCCCTCCCCAAAAAGAGAGCCTGAAAAGGCTATTAAAATAGTCCTCCATTTTCCAACTGCATTACTGTGTGAGATTAGATTTCCTTCACCTAGTTCAAACAAAAACAAAACAACGGACAATGCAGAAACACATATGGAGGGGGTGGGGGAGAGAGGGAGCGGGTGTGGGGGGATAGGGAGGGAGCAGGGGATGGGGGAGAAATGGCCCAAATAATATATGCACATATGAATAAATGAATAAAGAAAAAAAAAAAAAAGAAACACATATGGAAACTTAAGCTGTCATGTCTTCTATTAAGCATTATAATAAAGAAATAAACAGCTGGGCATGGTGGCAGATGATTGTAATCCAACCTGAACTGAGAGAGAGAGAGAGAGAGAAATATAAAACAATACCATTTTTCTCAGTAATCTACTGAGATATATATGTATATATTTTTTTGGTGGGACTGAGGTTTGAACTCAGGGCTTTGCACTTGCAAAGCAGGCACTCTACCACTTAGGCCACACCAGATCCATTTTGCTCTGGTTATTTTGGAGATGGGGGTCTCATAAACTATTTGCCTAGCTGGCCTCAAACCACAATCCTCCCGAACTCAGCCTCCTAATTAGTTAGGATTACAGCCATGAGCCACTGGTGTCTGGCTGAAATACATAGTTTTTTATTAAATGTTATTTATGTTAATGGAAAAGCTTACTACTATTATTTTAAATGAATAAATATTTTTAAACATCTCAGCTAAAAGTGCAAACATATTATAGATATAACCCATAAAAACAAAAGCTCTAGTCTCAATGATTTTTAAGTGTAAAGGAATTCTAAGAAATTAATACTTATAAGTCCTAAAATTCATCTGTTGAAGCCCTAATTCCCAACGTGATGATGTTAGGTAGAGTCTTTGGAAGGTAACTGGATATAGATGAAGTCATAAAGATGGAACCCCCACAACAGAATTAGCATTCTGTGAGAGAGATATCCAGGCTCTCTCCCTTGAAAAGCACAAGAAGAAGCCATATAAGTATACATAGTGAGATGGCAGCAATCTAAAAGCTAAGAAGAGGACCCTCGCCAACAGCTAAATCTACCAGCACTTTGATCTTGGACTTCCTAACCTCCAGAAATATGAGAAAATAAGTGTTTGTTTAAGTCACCCAGTGTACAATATTTTATTTGAGGCAGGGTCTCAATATGTAGCCCAAGCTTACCTCAATCTTGACACACTCCTGCCTCAGCCTTCTGAGTCTTGGGATTACAGGTGTACCCATCACACCCAGCTTACAATATCTTTTAATAGCAGCTCAAGCTACGAGATACTGCTCTAGAGCAATCATTTAGAAAGTAAAGCACAGTACAGACAATAAATTAATAGCAGAGATAAATTTGGATCATAAAACAAAAAAGGTCAGAGGAAAAAAAAAAAGAACAGATGGGAAAAATAGAAAACAAATAACAAGGTGAAAAGTTTAAACCCAAATATATAAGTACATTAAGTATAAATGGTTTAAGTATTCCAGTCAAAAGGCAGAAATTATCAGAATGAATAAAGACCCTACTGTTAGCTGTCTACATGAAGGCGATTCAAACATAAAAAAACAAGTTAAAAGTAAAACATTCAGAAAAGTCACAACATTAAACGCAAAGACTTCAGGACAAGGAGTGCTACCAGGTCTAAAGGGACGTTTAATAATATTAGAGTCTGAGGAAGACATGTATAAATGAATGTGTCTAACAACAAAGTTTCAAAATACACAAAGAAAAAATGACAGAATTGAAAGGAACATAGAAAAATCCACAATTATAACTGGTGATTTTAACATTCTTCTTTCAGAGGGCAAACAGATCAAAAAAATTTTTAATTATATTTTTATATATCATCTCAGGAAGTATAAAAGAAACTTGAACTATCAACTAGCCTGAACTAATTCAATTACTGAACACCTGCAGAAAACACATTCTTTTAAGTGCATCTGGATCCTTTGTATCAAGATAGTCCCTATACTAGGCAATAAAACAAGTCTCAGTGAATGTTAAAATACTGAAGTCTTACAGGGCACATTATTTGATCACATTGGAATTAATTTAGAAATCAGTATCAGTATACCCAGGAAACACCCAAATATGTGGAAATTAAGTGACATAATTATAAATAACCTATGTATTAAAGAAATGACAAAGGGTTGGTGGAGTGGCTCAAGTGGTAGAGAGCCTGCCTAACAAGGTGTGTGGCCCTGAGTTCAAACCACAGTAAAAGAAAGGAAAAGAAATGACAAAGATATAAGGGTGGGTCACTACTTAGGAGATGGAAATGAGAGAACAGAGGTTCAAAGCCAGCCTGGGCACAAAGTTCACAAGACCCCATTTCAACCAATAGCTGGGTATGGTGGTGCATGCCTGTCATTTTAGCTACTACGGGAGGCATAAATAGGAGGATCAGCTTGGCATAAAGCAAGACACTATTTCAAAAATAACCAAAGCAGTCAGATGCCAGTAGCTCACACCTGTTATCCTAGCTACTTGAAAGGCTGAGACTGAGAGGACTGCAGTTCAAAACAAACAGTCCATAAGACCACATTTCCAAAACAACCAGAGCAAACTGGACAGGAGGTGTTGCTCAAGCAGTAGAGCACTTGCTTTGCAAATGCAAAGCCCTGAGTTCAAACCCCAGTCCCACCAAAAATAAGTAAGTAAATAATAACAAGGGCTGAAAGTGTTGTTCAAGCAGTAGTGCACCTGCCACTCAAGTACAAAGCCCTGAGTTTACACCCTAATACTACCAAAAAAGAAAAAGAAAAAAGAAATGACATGACCAGTTAGAAGGTATTAATGGAATGAAAACGAAAATTCAATCTATCTGAATTTGTAGGCTATAACAAGAACAATGCTTAGAGAGAAAATTATAGCTTTAAATACTTATACCAGAGAATAGGTCCAATGTCAGTGATCTAACTTTTCACCATAAGAGACTAGAAAAAATAAATTAAAGCCAAGTATGAAGAAGGAAGGAAATAATAAATGAGCAAAATTCAATTAAATAGAAAATAGATAAATAGGAAAAATAAATTGAACCAAAATATGGTTCTTTGAAAAGATCAATAAAAATGATAAACCTTTAGCTCATCTGATCAAGAAAATATATTTAGAATATTTGGATTGAAACCAGTCATCAGTATAAATCTTATATTAAAGAGATAGAGAATACTAGAAACAACTTCATGAAACACCTTAGATAAAATGGACAATCCTGGAAAAACAAAAATTACCAAAACAAATACAAAAAGGCAGAAATATATATGTAGCTCCGTATCTACTAGAGAAATTGATCTTGTAATTTTAAATATCCCAACAGAGATGGCTTTACTGGTGAATTCTAACTACTATCTAAGGAAAAAAATACACACATACACACACCAGTCTTGCAGACATCATTTCAAAAAGTACAAGACAAAAAGATTTGCCAACTTACTTTACGATATTTAGGTGTATTCTGGTAGAAAAAGCAAAGGCATTCTAAGAAAGAGAAACTATAGAAAACCTTATCACTCATAAACATTGATATAAAAATTCTCAATGAAATATTAGCAAATTAATGAAGTCTAGCACTATAGAAAATGAGCAATGTCATGCCTAAGTAGGATTTACCCCAAGAAAGCAAGTTTTACTCCAAATCCAAAAATCAATGTAACTTTTCAAATTAACAGAATAAAAAAGAAAAACCACAATGGTTTCAGGAGATAGAGAAAAGGCAGTGGGCAGAATTCAACACTTGTTCAAAACAAAAAAATTTGTTAGGCCAGGTACAGTGGCACACACTTATAAACCCAGCACTTGGGAGGCTGAGGCAGGAGGACCATGAGTACCAGGCCAGCCTGGGCTACATAACAAAATCCTGTCTCAAAAAAACTTAAAAAAGTTTTTAAGGGACTATGGATTTGGCTCAGTGGCCAAATGTTTACCTGGTATTTATGAAGCTCTGAGTTTGACTCCCCCGCACACAAAGTCTTGTCAAACTAAATACAGAAGGCTTAAACTGATAGCTGGCATGTACAAAAATATCTGTACCTACCTCTCTAGCTAGCTAGCTAGCAAGCATCACAGTTAATGGTAAGACTGACCAACTTCTTCCCTCTAAGCTTATTCCCCCCAGTTTATTTTTCTTTTTAATTTATATCACCATAAATGCTAACTGTAAGATTACTTTTTTCTGGGGACACATATAGCATAACATGTACACTTAGATAAAATTGCTTCAAATTTTTGAAGTTAACATTGCTAATAAAAATACAAGGCAACACTCAAGCAATAGAGCACCTGCTTTACAAGTGCAGAGCCCTGAATTCAAACCCCAGTCTCACTAAAATAAATAAGCAAATAAATAAAAAACAAGGCACTCAAGCGGCAGAGCACCTGCTTTGCAAGTGTGGAGCCCTGAGTCAAACTCCAGTCTCATGTAAATAAACAAATAAACAAACAAGGCAACAGAATGTAACAGTGAAGGGCACATGTATGCAAATCTTCCCACTGGACAAATTACTTAACCTTACTGTACTTTAACATCTTCAACTGTAAAATGGGGGTATTAATAAAAAACATACTTTACAAGGTTTCTTAAGTATTTTTAAAGTACTGACTTTAAAGTACTTACTTTAGAATAGTGTCTGCCAGATGGAAATGGTCAGAAATATTAGCTCCCTTCTCCTTTCTTTCTATAACTGAATTACTTAAAATATAAATGAGGGGCTGAGGGTATAGCTAAATGATAGAGCGCTTGCTGTGTGTTAGGCCCTGGGCTGGACCCCCAGCACAGCAAATTTAAAAAAAAATAGATGATTTATTCTACTTATCACAGTAATTCCAGTCATAATCTCATTTTTTTGATGAAAACTTTTGCCCAAAACACTTCCACCATTTGTGTGGTATTTGCTTGTTCTTTGGGGCCTGTATCATTTGAGCTAAAATGATACTTATTTCAGTTGATAATCATCAAGTAAGGTTCCCCACACTAACTCTATCACCACAAATAAACGTAAATACTTATTTGTGAAAAAAAACTCAAGTAACTTGTCACCTACTGCTGGAAATGATTTTCTAAAATTTTGAATGTAAAGAAAACTTACCTTTTTTTTGACATGGGTTATTCTCTGTGTTGCCTAGTGTAGCCTTAAGCCCTGGGCTCAAGCAATCTCCCTGCCTCCACCTCTGAGTAGCTGGAATTACTGGAGTGCACTGCTCCCAGTTCTTTGCCCATTTTTTTTTTACTATATTTATTTTTGGATGATACTAGGGTTTGAACTCAGGAATTTGTTCTTGCAAAGCTGAGGCTCTGAATATTCAAATATTCAGTAGACTCGGACCACAGTTCTTCCTCTTGCTTTCCCCCAAGCTGCCTTTCTTCCCACCCATTTCTGCCTCTTTCTTCCCATTGCTTCATTCATGGAAGTAGCAAACATCTTGGCACTGCTCCAGGTATTGGGGATATGACTTTGAGCAAACAAACAGACCAGGACATGACTACAGGCCTCATGGAATTTACAATCTAGTGGGGGAGACAAAAATCAAATAAACAAGTAAATGCTAAACATCTGTGATTAATAATAGTAAATATACACTGAGCATTTGTTCTGTATTAGGCAGTGAGCTAGGTACTTTAAATGCAGTAACTCCCTCCCACTAACTTTATATAATAGGTAGGTATCCTCAACCTCATTTACAGAAACGAAAAACAGACTTTAGTATCTTGCCCAAAGTCACATATAAAAAGTGAACAAACAGGAATTAGGGATTCAATCCTGTAAGCAAAGTCAAAGAAAACTTCCCTGAAGCAGTTCAAACTGAGTCTGAACATTCTGTTAGCCAGAGGGAGAACAGAACAATCCCAGCAGCAGGCTGAAGAAAAAGAATGATCAAGGGCCTCGGGGAAAGCAATATATTACAATATGTTAGGAATTTAAATTAAAAAAAGCCTGGAGAGAGAGAGATGAAGTGGGAACATGCTATGGAGGGAAGGATGGGAGGAGGGTATGCTGAGTGGAGGAAATGATGGTGCCAGTGTGAATGGAGAGAGGTAGATGAACTTAGAAGATCTATGTGTAGATAAAATTATTCTTCACTTAGTGATGGCCTGAACATCCAGAGTGATGAAGAATGTAGGAAGAATGATTCCTCAAACTTCTGGCCAGCATAATTTAACAGATAATGGTGTCATTCACGGAGACAGGAGCAGGAAGAGGCCCAGACTTAGGGAGACAGAGTTGCTTGCTTTAGGATATGCTGAAATCAAGATGTCTTTGAGAATCAAGTAAGCAGACAAGATTATAGAAGCTTGTCTTTTAGAGCAGAGGTAACTATCTCTGCACAAAGAAATTAGTGAGCAATTGACAACTACATATATTGAAACAGACTTGGGAGAAGAGGGCCTGGAGGAGAATTGAGTCAAAATTTTACAAAGAGAGGCCTGCAAATAACACGGGGGACGACCAACCACGCTGAAACACAGAACCTAAGAGTGTCTGCAGAAAAAGCAGTTATCAACAGGCCCAAACACTGCTGAGAATTGAGCTACACTGAAAAACGTCGGATTTAGCGACTCGAAAGGCGCCGGCAACTTCTAGCGGAATTATTTGTATAGTAAACAAGAGGAAATCTGGCGGGGAGCAAACGAAACTGAAAACAGACAACTGCAGAAAAGTTTGTGGAGGGGAGAAGGGGAGGTACAGAGTGGCCACCGAGAGGACTGGGGTGGGGGGGTTGCTTTGTTTTCTTAAGTAGAAGAATGCTTTGAGAAGATGTTGATACTAGAAGACCCCCGGTGGCTCCCCCTTTTGCCCCGGCATTCTAGCCCCATCTGGCACAGCTCCCTCGCCCTTCCCCATTCTGCCCCGCTGCAGGCCCACGGCACCCCGGGTCGCCAGCCCAGCCCCCGGGCGTTTCCTCACCGCAATGGCCCCCTCGCTCAAGTGGCCGACCATGGCTCCGCCGTCCAACTCCCGCGCTCGAGCTCTTCCACCGCCCCAGTTTCACTACCTGGGTCCCGCCGGCTGCTCAACTATTGGCCCGAGTTGCTGTACGCGCCTCTCCCGCCCCCGACGTGCGCGCGGCACGGAGGCGGGGCTAGGCGCTGAGCGGCCACCGTATTGGTCGAGGCGAGGCGAGCAGCCCACGTGACCAGACCGAGGCCCGGTTCTAGGCCTAGTGGCGGGATAGCAAGGCCTGGGGGCGGGGCGCGGGAGCGGCGCGCCCAGCGGTGCGCGGGGGCGGTGGAGAGTGCGTGTGGCCGGGTTCCGGGAGCCTTCCGCATGCCGGCGCAGGCCTCTGGCAGATGGACGGAATGGTATACCAGACCGCAGTGTTGCTCCTTGATAACTCAGCTGCTAAATATAGTCCAAGCAGTGACCTGGTTTCTTCAGCCTAGTGCCGGCCTCTCGCATGTGCCAGGCCCTGAGTTTGTCACTGTGCTGTCTTCTGAAGGTAAATATGACACTGTCCCCCCCTGCTCAGGGGGGACAGCAGCAATCTGTCCCGGGAGTTTTCGCGATGAGGAGCCAAAACTCAAGGTAGACGCGACATGGGCCCCACGTGCGGTGAAATCACAGCTGGAAAATCAGGGAAGGCTTCCCGGAGGGTATGATCTTTGAACTGAGTCGACTCTGTGGGGGCTGGAGGTGAGGCTCAAGTGATAGAACGCCTGTCTAGCAAGCACAAGTGAGTTCAAGTTCCGCAAAAAGAAAGAAAGAAAACTTACTAGGTGGACTCCAAGTGAAGATGGCAATGTTCCTGAAAGCACAAGTGGCCTAGCAAACACACTGGAGATGAAATCACCCCGCAAGCTGGGGATAGCAATGAATAACTCTGTATGGTGGGATACAGAGAAAGAAGAGAATAGGAAACCAAGGATCAGATAGTGATATTATGTCTCCTATTATATATTTCCTCTCATATGTATGTCTGTACTTATATATATCTTCCATCATACGTATCATATACATACACACTCATATACATTTCTCGTGCCTTAGGAGGATGAATTGATGAAGTTAAGACAGAGGACTACTACCTGTCCCAACCAGGAGGTTGGGTTGAAAGGGGAGGGAGGTGGGACAGAACATAGGTACTAGTTATGACAGTCTTGAAAAAAATGTCAGACAAAACATAGTAAGGACTTGAACTGAGAATGACCTTTGAAGCACAAAACTGAACTAACATAGAAATATTTAACTTAATAGTTGCTGGGCTAAGTGAAAAATAAAATTCTGGAATGACTTGAGCAACTAGGGAAGTTGGAGGTCTAGAAGGACTGGGATAAGTTGGGCACCAGTGGCTCAGGCCTGTAATCACCACTATTTGAGAAGCAGAGATCAGGAGGAACATGGTTTGAAGCCAACCTGGGCAAATAGTTGGCGAAACCCTATCTCAAAAAAAACCCAACACACACACACACACACACACACACACACACAAAATAGAGTTGGCTCAAGTGGTAAAGTACCTGCCTAACAATCGTTAGGCCCTAAGTTCAAATTCCAGTACCACCAAAAAAAAATTAAAAAAGGACTGGATGGTCACTGTCTACTGTAATCTGTTTTGTGTTTGGAGCCACGGCTTTCAATAAGTATTTCATAATGACAGGATGTTGAGTGAATTGGTTGTTGTGACAGAACATAGATCCTTCATCATATAAACAACTATAGAAAAAGATCACAAGAATCGATTGTGAGCCAGGCGCCAGTGGCTCACGTCTGTAATCCTAGCTACTCAGGAAGCAGAGATCAGGAGGATTGCAGTTCGAAGCCAGCCCGGGCAAATAGTTCTGTGAGACCTTATCTCAAAAAACCCTTCACAAAAATAGGGCTGATGGAGTGGCTCAAGGTGAAGGCCCATTCCACAAAAAAAAAAAAAAAAAGAAAGAAAGAAAAAGAAAAAAAAAAAGAATCAATTGTGCTGCTTTACATTTGCTCAAATGAAATCGGTTTTCTAGAATTGTGCTGTTGTAGAAATCTGGATTTCTATTTTCTTATTCACTTTATAGATCTACAGTAGCATGGATCTGCCTGTGGATGAGTGGAAATACTACCTTCTTCAGAAGTGGTCTTTACTCCCGAAATCCATTCAGCTCACAATTTCTACAGCAGAGACTTTGAGTGATATCTTTCTTCACTCCTCTTCCCTTCTTCAGTAAGTGAATGGAAGCATTTCTCAGGGAAATTTTGATCTGGAAAATGTCTCTTTGCTCTGAAGTAATCTCTTTCTTATGGAAAAGTTAACTTTAGGATTTTATATTTGAGGCATTTAGCAGTTCTTTGCTGTTTTCACAGTTGTTTCCTAGTCTATGACTATGGAACAGGTAAGGAAGATTTTTGCTTTTTTTGATGTCTGTGTTATTTTTCAATAATTCAGTGCCAGGTGGGCCTGGTGGTCCCAACTACTTGGGAGGCAGAAACAGGAGGATTAAGAGTTTGAGACCATCCCAGGCAAAGCTAGTGAGACCCTATCTCAAAAACAAAAGGGCTGGGGGCATGACTCAAGTGATAACAGCATGAATGAGAAACCCTGGGTTCAATCCCTACCAAAAATAGTAATAGTGATAATCAGTGCTTTGCTATAGTCATTAGGCTGTGAGCCTTGCTCTTTCAAGGGGTATAGTGGAGACTTTCTAGCTGGTCACAGAAATTCATAAGAGGTCAAATTTGGAAAGGGTCTAAGAGGTCACATAATAACCCAGTAACTTTCAAACTCGCTTCTCAGTAAGATACACATTTTACATCACAGTCTAGTAGACACATACATACATCGAAAACTGAAGGGCTGGGGATGTAGCTGAGTGGTAAAAGTGCTTGCGCAGCATGCATAAGGCTTTGGGTTTGATCTCCAGCACTGCAAAAAAAAAAATGTAGGCTGGACCTGGTGGTTCATACTTGTAATCCCAGCTATTCAGGAGGTGGAGATAGATTCAAGGCCAACCTGGGGAAGAGTGGGACACCCTATCTGAAAAACAAACCAAAAGCAAAGGACTCGAAGCATGACTCAAGTGGTAGAGCACTTCCCTAGAAAGCACTGGGCCCTGAGTTCACGCCACTACCACTCCAAGAAAAAAGAAGGAAGAGTAAAACTGAGAGTAGAATTTCCCAGAATCTCATTCATTAGGCAAATAGTTATTGGTCACCTAGTTTGCACCAACCACTGTGCTAGAATACATCCATGAACAAAAAGTAGAAAAAGATCCCCAGGAAAGGATCTTAATGTGGAGCATGTCTGGCAGGTTCAAGCAACAGCAAGAAGGTTAATGTGGATGAGATAGAAAATAAGGTCAAAGAGGCAGGGGACATGCATGAGTGCTGGAGGGAGCAGGTGGCACAAATTAGGCCAGAAAGGAAGTAGAGGACCTCAGACCTACAATCACAAGGAGCCATCTCTTGCCAACAACCTGAATGAGCTTGGAAGCACGTTCTCTCCCAGATCCTCCTTGTAAGAGTTGTTTTGACTTTGGCTGTGTGAGATCCTAAGCAGAGAATCCACCCGTGCCTGCCTGGACGTCTGACTTATAGCACTGTAAAAATAATGAATGGGTGTCGTTTCAAGCTACTAAATTTGTGGTAATTTGTTGAACAACAATAGAAAATCAATTGGCAGGGTTTTGAGAGAAGAGCCCTATGATCTGATTATATTTTAAAACAGATCACCAAATTATAGCCTGCAAAGTAAATCCACCCCACCGCCTGTTTTTGTAAGGCCCATAGCTAAGAATGTTTTTTACAAATAAACATTTGCGGTTGATTTGAGGATAAGGATCACTGGCCTTGTACTCTAATTAAGCAAAATAGAATCCATTTAAAAATTTTCATTCTCAAAAACAAACAAAAAAATTCATTCTCATTAATAGTCCTGATTATATTGTATTCTATTCTTACTATATTTTTAATTTTGTCAATAAAAAGTTTTTGGAAATTGGTTTTTGCCAGCTAGGTAACTATATAATAGCCACTTGGCTTGCAACGCCTAAATATTTACACTCTAACTTTCTACATAAAAAGTTTTCTGACCTCTGCTTTAAAGGATCTCTGCTGTATTGAGGAGTAGACAACAGGAGGAGCAAGGATGAAAGCAGAGTCCTGTAGGGCTGTTGCATTAACCCAGATGAGAGATGAGAAGATGGTAAGTTAGGCCAAGGTGGTAGCAGGAATGGAGAAAAGTGATTGAATTCTGAGGTTGATTTAATAGGAGTTCCTGAGATGGACTGTGTTGCATCAGAGAATGTGAGAAATAAAAAGTGACTGTAGGGATCTGGGCCATACAAACTAAAGGTAGAAGGATGACATTGCCATTAGGGCTTCATATCTGAATTTCAGGTACCTAGTGGACACCCAAATGGAGATGTCTAAATGAGCTTGGGGTTCAGGAAAGAGTCCTAGGATAGAGACAGAAATTTGGGACTTGTATATGGCATTTAGATCCATGAACGGAGTAAGTTCACCAAGCAAGAATGTAGATAGATACTTACTGCTTGCGATACACTTTGATATTTTCTCTTTCGTTTATCTCATTTTAAGAAGCTAATCAGAACCCACTAAATGAATTTCATGACTCACTGAGTCATGACCTGAAGTTTGAAAAATTCTGTCAAAAATACCTAAAGCTCAGGCTGGAGGCGTTGCCCAAGTAGTAGAGCACTTGTTTAGCAAGCATGAGGCCCTGAGTTCAAACCCCAGTACCAACAAATAATTCTTTAATTAAAATTAAATTTTAAGCAATATCTGAAGCTCTGTAGAATCCATGGATTTCTTTACAGAATTTCTAGAAACAATAGGGAACTGCTGATGAAACTTTGGATAATAGGCAGTTTCCCCTAGATAAATCGATTTGGTTTACTAAAGAAAAGTGTAAAATCAACAAGAATCATTTGACCTATCAGTGCACTGACAGGAATTTAAATTAAAGAGGATTTGCCTGGTTATTTAATATTGGAGTTCCTCAAGACTCCAGCCTGGGATTTCTTTCCTTTTCACTCTATATTCTCAAATGAGGTAGTCACAGTCACACCCATGGCATTAATTACCACCTATATACCCTTAAAATATATCTCTAGCCCTGACCTCTCTTCTGAGACTCAAATCTCTAAATCCAACTGACTACTTGAAAAATCTCAAAGATACTTAAAATTCAATGTCAAAAAACAAACTTGCACTCAAAATTAGATTCCCCTCCAGTGGTTCCTAGCTTAGTAACTTGCACTACTTGTGTTCAGTTCCTAAACTAGAAACCTAAGAACCATTTCATATTAAAAACTGAACTAATGTTCTTCTCTCAGCCTATGTCAGATCATCTTCTGTAATCCCTTAGTGAATCACACCAACATCTGCCTGGTTGTTAGCCAGAAACCAGGATATCTTGCCTGATTTTCTCTCCTCCCTCATACTCTACATTAAATCTATTCATAAGTATTGTCTAATGTAGTGCTATGAATTCTGCTTTCTTTCAGATTTGGCAAATAGGACTTCTGCTTCTGGATAGAATATGATAGATCATAGCAGACAATGCTCCCAAGGCAACCAAAAATTTATACTGTAAAAACATTTTTAAAGACATCAGATAGCAGCAGTACTAAATGGACTAAAATTCCAGAGAGGAAAGACTATTCCTAGGTGATCACTATCCATTTTCTTTCCTGGGAATAATTGTAGGCTGAGAAATCAGGCTGGGGCCCAGCAGGATTTCCTGGAAGAAAGAGAAACAAGCAGACCTCTTAGCAATCTTTTGCGGCTGATGGGATGGATTGGAAACTAGAGGCTCCAACTCAAGGCCTGGATGCAAAGTCAATTTGCCTCAGTTCTCAGGAAGTGTAGGAGGCCAACAAAAAAGACAGAATGAAATCTGTAGTCTTTTAATGCAAAGGAGCAAAATCCCACTAGAAGAAAGGGCCCTGCAACAAACACACAAGTGATCTCTCTGTCAAGACATTTGCCAGATTTTGAACCCCTCTGGTGTGGTAAGCTAAAAATGTAAGCTCAAAATCTTCTGAGACTAAAACTTTGAGGTGTAAAGAAAAGGAGATGTTCAAGGCTCTGAACCTAGGCTCAGTGAGAAATCAGAGTTGCACTGAATTTCTCTCTCTCTCTCTCTCTCTTTCTCTCTCTTTTTTGACAGGGTCTTACTATGTAGCTCAGGCTAGCCTCAAACTCTTGTTCCTCCTGCCTCAGCCTCCTGAATGCTGAGATTATAGGTATGCTCCACCACACCCAGCTATTCTGCAAAAACTGTATCCTAATGTCTAGGGGTATAGCTTACTGGTAGAGCACTTGCCTAGTTTTTGTGAGGCCCTGGGTTCAATTTGCAGCACCACCAAAAAAAAAAAAAAACAACAAAAGCCCACAGGTGGACGCCAGTGACTCACACCTTTAATCCTAGCTACTCTAGAGGCAGAAATCAGTAGGATCAAAGTTCAAGGCTGGCCCAGGCAAATAGTTCATAAGACCCTATCTTGAAAAAACCCAACACAGGGCTGGTGGAGTGACTTAAGTGGTAGAGCACCTGCGTAGCACTTGTGAGTCCCTCAAACCGCAGTACCACAAAAAAAAAAAAAAAAAAAATGTAGCCCAACCCTGATCCAACTCAATTCTTGATTGACTGGAGGTAGGCCAACCCCTTATTCTATCTGTCTAATATGAGAAAGAGAGTGCTTTCATGGTAGAAGATGTGTTATATCATGAAAGTAGCTTTGTTATGTAATCTATATACAGTATCAAGGCTATAGCAAAAAAATTATTAGATGGGCAAAGGTACATAAAAATAACCAGAAATCCAGAAGGACAAAATAGACATTAGAAGCAAACCAACTGAGGTCAACATATAGGAGTTAGTAGGCAAGAACTTTAATGTAACTATGATAACATTTGTCAAATAGCCCATCTTTTCCCCAGTGCCTCAAAATGCCATACTTACTGAAAATTAAATTTGCAATAAAAATAAATAAATTACCATAGATTTGTTTCTAGACTCTGTATGCCAAAACCAAAGGGTTTTACCATAACTTTATAACTTTAGAACTATCTCAGTTTCAAATAACAGAAACCCACTCAATTATTTTTGGCAGCGCTGAGACTTGACCTCAGGTCCTAGAGCTTGCTAGACAGACACTCCCCACAAGCCCTTCAACTCAAATTGATGAAATCAATAGCTAT